CCCCAAAACCCCAAAACCCCAAAACCCCAAAACCCCGGTTGCTAAGATAATCATTTAATCAAATAATAATTTTAATGAAAATAATCTCTTCATAGTTTTAATTTTGAACTAATTTAGATACATTTGCTTTCTAATGACGTCAAAATGTTATATCATAATCTAAGTTGCTTATTAAACTGTTCATCTTAATTCTCTAATAAACTGAGCTTAGTTCTATAGCTATTTTGAATGATTTAAAAGTTGTTTTAATTGTTATTTTAGCTTTCCATAAATGTATATTAGCTGATGGCTTTATCTGGCTCATGCTAAAATATAATGATAGCCTTTGACGAAATATTTTTCATCAGTACATCATTTAGAGTAGTTTTAAGCTAACTTTGATTGCTTGGTGTCACTTAAATCTCAATTATAAGTGGTAATTATCTCTTGCTGCCAAACTCATCTAATTTAAATCTAAGCTCATGCAAAGATACAGTCTAATAATCCTTGATATCATTGCTAGTGAGTTCATTGATCACTTAAGCTATTTGTACCTGATTTTATTAATTTTAAAGTCCTAAAATATCATTATCTCTAACAGAAGATATAACTTGATTTACAGTGATATCCTATATCATTCTTAATTTTGGTCTTCTTTCATAGGACTCTACAGTGATATCTGCAATGCTGATTTATAAATCGCTGCCATCTTATACTTAGTTTTCTAGGTCTTAATCTTTAAATTTAAGCATTTTAGGTTGAATGTCTAGACTCAATACATTAAGGTTAAATTTTTTGGCTGAATCTATTTCTCTGCCAGTCAAGGATATTTATTCAGAATTAAATCTCTCTTAATTACCGCCAGTTAATAACTAATTGAACTCTCTAAGCTTTTTATCACTCGTTCTCTCAAAGTTATCTTAATCGTTCTGAAACTAAATCACACTGCTATCGATTTCAAATCTTTAAAATCTTGTTGGCTTTTTATTAGAATTTTCATTACCGGGATTTAGCTATTAAATTTCTTATTTTAATATTCTACTATTTAGTAAAAGTGATTAAGACATTAAAAATGAGTTTTACTGTTAAGATTTATTCTCAAATTTTATACTGAAAATGACTATTTGCTAATGTAAGTCATATAGATAATTTGACTAAAGACCTATTCTCTAAAGCAAGTATCTGAAATAATTAAATCCCAAATTATTCAATATTTTGTCTTCTTACAATAAACTTAAAGATATATTTCTTAAGTTGTTGGTCAACATCTAATTATCCATAAATATTATGTACTCATCAATGTACTTAAATTTGTTAGTTGATAAAACAAGGTCTAATCTATATTCAGTATTTGTTTGGATCTGAGTAAAAGATTTAGTCATGCTATTGATTGTTAGATTCTCTTAATAAATGTAGCTTATTAGGTTGAATTTTTATGAGCCAGCTTTATTATCGTTCATAGCTTTTATTAAGAGCAATAAAATTTAGAACAAAGTTTCGCTATAAGTTGCAAAAGTTTGAGGAATCTCCTGACTTATGATATGAATTTTATTATTTTTACCATAAATTTCTGAGTATCTCTTGATTAATTCATTTTAAATCTCATTGATGGTAATATTCTCTAGGAAATCTCTATCAAATTAATCAAAACTTAGAAGGTTGCCTATCATCTTAAGGGTTTTTATGCTAGCCCTTAGATCTTGATTTATTGATTTGGCTTTATTAGGGTTATAAAAATCAGGTAGATCTTATTGATCATTATCATTGCAGTTAAGGTTTCTCAATTCTCTCTGCAAATAATCTTAAAGGTACTTTTATGTAGCTTCTTAGATTTTTACTTTGCTTAGAGTGAAAACGATACTTTGATTATTTGTTTTTGTTATTAAAGCCTTGGAAATATGAGTTTCATAAGTATATTTATAGGAATCCTAAGGAGGAACTAATTTCTAAGGAATAATCTCAATCAATGGCAAAAAATAAAGTTTAGGGTCGATTTGGCTTTCAATTGCCTCTTAAAATCTTGCAAGAATTTTCATAGCCTAGAGCAAGCTAATTCCTTTGATAATTTTATAGTGTCCAATGACCAAATTGCTCTATATATTTTTTAAACTATCGATATCTAAATTCCCACTAGCATGCTTATTATGTTTATCTTCTAAAATACTGACAAGATCCCCATTAAAATGAACAAGTTCTACAAAAGACTTATCAATAATGATTTCATTCTACTTCTTCAAAGAGTCAAAACTTTTGTTCATTTTAACTGAAGCATCATTAGTTATATCGTTTCTCAGGATAAACTTTAAGATTCTTCAATGTGCACTGCTATAACTTATTATTGAAAAGAAGAAACAATTAATCAGCATGTAAGTAGTCTTAATGGAGGCAAAATAATCTTAACTATCAGTAAATTTGATAAAGCTAAAAATATTTAGAATTGTATAAGCACAGCTATTTAAAATCCAATATCCATCTATGTTGAATGCCAAATAATATGACCATATAATGCAAAAGCTATAAGAAATGTCATAATTGTGAGAAATAACTTATTCATCTCCTAAAAAGAAAAAGTGATCATCAAGTAAAATCAAATTATGAACAAATATAAGAGCAAGTGGACTTATCATTTCTGAGGCAATAGTATTCAAGATAATTAAACTTTAGCCTGTTTAAACTCTATTAGTATAGAGAGAAATTCCGCCAATCAGCAAAATCAAAATCCATTGTGCAATTGTCTTGAAAAGTGGTTATATATTTTAAATAGTTTATCCTCTAAATATATCTCCATTAACATCGCTTATAATTTGTATAACCAGGAAAATCATCACTTAAAAAGCCAAGAACATCCATTCTTACTTAAGAGACTCAAACCTGCATTATATATTTAAACTAGTATTTTTGAATCATAGAGTTAGTGTTGAATATTTAAACGTCTCTTGAGTGCGTTGAATATAATTTTGCTTCATTATTTGCTTAATTTAATTTATTACAGTATTTTAAGCAGAAAATATAGATTTGATTTAACGATTTTTTTTCTATCAATAATTTAACATTATTTCCATTAGGGGTTTTGGGGTTTTGGGGCTAAATTTTGGCGCT